GGGAAAATGTTAGAGGTTGGTGGCAGACTCGGCTGCTTTCAGTGCAGTCCCCAAATTGGAAGGATTTACCACAATCCTGAGGGTGTGCCTAGCTCCCCTTCTATTTTCTCGTGTTTTCCGGACTTCTGCACCCCTATTACTGTGATGAGCCGCAGCATGAAATCCAGGGATCCCTGGGGCCATGTGCTGCCCCACCCGTGGCGCCCATGTGGGTTGAGTGTGAGCCCTGTGGCCTGGCCTGGCCTGTGTTTACTTTGTGACGTCTCCCCAGGTCTCAGCCTCATGGCCACTGTCACAGAAAACACGGCCAGGTATTCATGCCACTTGAATGGGCTGTTTCTTTCCTGCTGCCCACACCCTGCGGGGCTTTGTTCTCTGAGTCAGAGGGTGGGGGCCATCCCCCAACTCTACCAGACAAGACGCCCAGAACGCAGAGCTTCTGCGTCACTGCTCCCTGGGGTACCAGTCTGGGAAGGACAGTTGTTTCTCTGCTCTCCGAGCAGCTTTGTGTGCGCATTTCTCTACCTGTGCCACTGTGCACCACTAAGAACCCAACCATGCTAGACAGTGCCCTCCCGAGCTGGCAGGGGGCCTTGGCTCTGGGCATCGCCTGCCTCTTCTCCGACGCAGCTGCCTCTGCCTGGGATGAGGAACTTGAGCTCCAGCAGCCAGTGACCTTGTCTAGGTCGTGAGCGGGGCTGACTCTATCAGAGGGAGAATCTGAAACCCGTGTTCTCCCCTGCTGGAAGCATTCGGGCCCTGGCCGTAGCCTGGGTCCTCTCAGTCCCCTGTGTGACTCTTGCGCTCTGGGTGTGGCCTTCGTGCCTTCTGTGTGCTGTCACTCAGCTGGTCTTCTGTCACTGACCGTGGTGGGACCCTGACGGCAGGGGGCAGAGACCTAGGGAGCTCCGGCCCACTGAGCTGCAGGCACAGGAGAGCGGCTGGCCCATTCTCTGCAGCATGAGGGGCTCATGCCTGTCTTTAATCCCCGTGCGGGTTCCGCTGAGGATGTCAAGAAAATTGCGGTTCCCAAGTGGTGGCACTGGCTGTGCCTGCCTTGTGCCCCTCCCTCTCCCTCTGCCTGGCTCTGCCTCATTGCACATGCACACACGCACACACGCACACATGCACACACGCACACACACATCTCTGAGTTGTGCGAGAGCACACAGCAGATGACGGTGCTGCATACTGCTGTTTTGCTTTAAGTTTTCTGCAAGTACAGTTACTGAACCAGAGCACTGAGAGTGACTCGGTAAAGACTGTGTAGTCCTCACGCTTCACTGGGAAGGGGCTGGGGATGTAGCTCAGTGGTGCCATGCCTGCCCGGCAAGCACAACGTCCTGAGTTTGATTCCTGATGCTGAGAAAAAAAAGGTTTTGCTGTGAAGCCAAGTAGTGCTGCTAGAAATGAAATTTGGGTTCTTCCTTGTGGGCAGTGGGCAGTGATGTCCCCTGTGTCCCTTGATACCCAGGGAGCCCTGTCCACCTCGCGTATCCTGGACATGCTGTCGCTCCACATCCTGCCCTGGAGGGGTGCTGTTTCCTTTGCCCTGCTTGGGGCCTTGTGAACCCTCCACAGTGTGGGTTGCAGACACCATGGGGAGGGGGTCAGGTGCGAGGGCCCGTCTGGGGGATGCGCAGAGTGAGGTCTGGCCCACCTTGTCCCGCTGCAGCCCATGGTCAGTCAGTGGGCTGCGTCTGTCTCTGTGGCCTTCGCCTGTATGGGGCCTGGGCTGTGGGAACTCACATGGGACTGCGGTGGCTCCACCTTTTGGGTGGGAGGGGCCGGCAGGTGTGTCTCACAAGCAGTGCTGGTGTGTGTGTGTGTGTGTGTGTGTGTGTGTGTGTGTGCGCGCGCGCGCACGACCTGGACTGTGCCATCTCTGAGCCCCAGTGAACGACCAGCCCAGGTTTTCGGGTCAGGCCATGTTGTGTGTTTAGGCCGGCCCTGTGTGCTTGCCCTGGGGGCTGTGGGGTGCAAGGCGCCCTCTGGCCAGGCCAGCCAGGAAGGCAGTGTATGTAGGCCCCGGGGAAGGGTCAGCCGCCCCTGTCAGACAGCGCTGTGCTCACTGCCCACCCAGCCTGCGAGCCCTGGGCAGAAGCCTCCATCCACTGCTCTGCTCCTGCTGCTGTGCAGCTCGGTGGGGACATGAGGAAGTCTAGAGGTGCTAGACTATGCAGCAGGTCACTCAGGGTCCCGTGGAGACTCCGGGGACCCTCAGTGTGGGTCCCTTAATGGGCCTGGGCCTCGCAAAGGGGTTTTCTGTCTGTGCTTTAGAACATGTGACAGTGCCATCGTCCTGGGCCCCGGGCGGGCCTCTGTATCAGATTCAGGGCTGGGCCCTTTGTGTTTGTGAGTGACCTGGCCCTTGATTCCTGGAGCCAGTGTCAGAGCCTGCCTGGCTCAGGTGTGTTCCCCACTGTGCTGACCCAGAGCGTCAGTTGGTCCTGGTGTGGAGGCTGTGTGGCCCAGCGGTTTGGGTTCTGGCATGCTCGGCTGGAGTGTGGAGGTTCAGAACAAGTCCCAAGGGGTTGAGGGGTCCGGGGTGCGCTGGGGGCTGCACAGGTACTGGGGTCTGGATACCACTCTGAACCAACGAGAATCACCCATCATGCCAGCACAGTCTGCCCGGGTTTGGGGAATTTGAGACTCGAGGCTGCTGTCAGCCTGAGCGGTGAGTCACCCATGACAGGCCTGTCCAGGTGGAGATCCCGGGTTTAAGATCCTCGTGCCTGGGGGTTAGGAAAGCACCAAGTTTGGGACCCGAGAGGGGCCACACTGTGACTTGAGTGTGTCAGCCGTGTGGCATGGGGGGGCACCTGGCCTCCTCTCCTCTCTGAGCCGCATCCCCAGAGTGCCAAGCCTGGACTTGTAGCAGGTGCCGCCACGTGGCCTGTGCTTGCACCACTGTTCCTCAGCACAGGGGACATGGGGGTTTGGAACAGGACACAGTAATCCCAGAGCCGGCCCTGAGGTGTGGCCCGGTGCCAAGCCCCACCTGGTCCCTGCAGGGGCCTGCCTGCCTGTGAGTGTTGGGCCTGGTAGGTGTGTCCAGGTCCCGCCCTGCCTCCCTCTCCCCAGGTCCCTGTCTCTTCCTGTTCTCTCCTGCGCCTTCCTATCCCCTCTTCCCACTGCCGGGGCCACCTGTGCAGAAGGTGCCAGGCTATCACGAGGGAGGTGGAGTGGCTGTGCCCTGGAGTCCCCAGTGTGCCGATGGAGGACAGAGGGTGGCAGTTGGGCCGTTGCATGACCTCCCTGGGACCTCCCTGTCCCCGTCTCCTGTGCCACCACCACTCTGGGAGCCCCACCTCCCTTGCACATATCCCTTGAACTCCAGTGCCTCCCACAGGCCCCGGCTGAGGCCCAGAGTCGGAGCGCTAGGGCCGGGCTGCTGGGGAGCCTCCCTTGGCTCCTGCCAGTGCAGCCTGGCCAGGGCAGGGTTCGTGAATGGCCTCGTAGTACCCAGAGGCCAGCTGTGCTCTGTGCCCAGAGTCCTCACGGTGGTCCCACACGTGTGTGTGTGTGTGTGTGTGTGTGTGTGTGTGTGTGTGAGGTGGGGGGAGAGTCTCATCTCGTGGGAAACCAAGTAGTGAAGGCTGGGCCAGGAAACTGTCCCCTTGTCCTGTGTCCAGGGTTGTGGAGCCCCCTGGGGGCTGACAAGGACACAGGGACCTGGGTTCCCCACTCTGCTGACCCGGAGCGCCAGTTGGTCCTGGTGTGGAGGCTGTGTGGCCCAGCGGTTAGGGTTCTGGCATGCTGGGCTGGAGTGGGAGCTCAGAACAAGTCCCAAGGGTTACTGTGGGCTGTGCAGGTGTCCACAGGGTCTGGACAGGGTAGGTGACCCTGCCTGTGAGGCTCTTTTCTGTGGCCATGCGTGGTGCTCCAGATCTCCTGGCCACAGGTGCCATCCCCACCTTCTGCTGTGCCTGTGCTACCCTGCATCCCTGCCCCGGGGGTGTTGAATGATCCTGTGTGAAAAGCAGCAAGCCTTTCAGCTTCCCTAAAAACCTGGGGTGAGCAGGAAGTTAGGTCCAGCACTTTAGGTGGGAATTTCACCCAGAGTGGGGTCGTGAGTATTTCCAGGCCGAAGGCGCTCACCGTCCTGTGGTGACACTAGGTGTACCACCCTAGGTATGTGAGGGGCCTGGCGCCCGCGCAGGTGCAGGACAGGGAGGGTGCTGCTACCGACCGTAGGGCAGCATACATGGGATTTCACGAGGAGATACAGGTTCTCTGAAAGGTGGGAGCAGGTTCGGCGATGACAGTCAGACAAAAGCACTCAACACCGAGGTGAAGTTTGCCAATGCTGCTGCAATTTTATTTCTAACTCCAGGTGTTTATATACTAGTTTCAAGGGCACATCACAAGAGTGATTCCAGTCACAGGCAGGCATAAGATAGACAATAGTACTGTAAAAATTAAGACCACAAGGTCAAGGTAAGACCACACCTATATACCATCACAAAAGCTAAGACCATTAAGTCAAGGTAAGACCACACCTATACGCAGTCAGAAGGGGAAGTTTGTAAGACAAAGGACTGGCTTTAGCATGTCACCTTCAGGTTCACCTTCAGGACTTCACAGTCCGGGGCTCAGGGTCAGCACTTTGGCCACCCATCCTCTTGTGCCTCAATATCTCCACATCTCTAGGAACATCTAATTGTTCCTAACCTTTCCTGGGCCCAGAATACAATTCTACAGATAATGAACAAATAGTAATAAAGACAAAATAGAACAGAATTATAGATGAACCCAATGTCCCCAAACTGCAGGCAGAGAGGCCAGCTATTCTCTTCACGGCTGACTTCGCATGCGGTGTGTGCCAAGGACCTCCAGGAGGCTTAACCCCGTGGGGACGATACCTCTGGTCTGGTTTCTGCCAGGTGACCGGCATTGTCACGCAGACTCTACTGGCGTGGTCGTGGCAGGGTGCCTTGTCCCCAACACCCCCTTTCTGTGCCCTGTTCTTCCTCTGACTCTGCCCACTCATCCTAAAGGAGATGGGACACCCCGGGAGAGCAGCCCGTTCATCAACAGTGTCGACATGGAGCGGGAAAGCTACTACGAAGGGAAGAACATGGCTCTCTTCGAGGTGACGTTGTCCTGTTTTGTTGGGGGAGAGGTGGCCGAGGTCCCCAGTGTGGCAGTGATGGGCACACCTCCTCGCCGGGGCTGCCCTAACCCCCTTCTCCGGGCCTCCCGGCTCGGGCCCCTCAGACTGTTCCGTGACAGTGCCTGTCCCCAACAGGAGGAGATGGACAGCAACCCCATGGTGTCCTCCCTGCTGAACAAGCTGGCCACCTACACCAACCTGAGCCAGGGGGTGGTGGAGCACGAGGAGGATGAGGACAGCAGGCGGCGCGAGGCCAAGGTATTGTGCCCACGCCCTACAGGTCCCCCTTGGTCCTCGGCGTCTCCACAGGGTCAGGTGCCACCCGCCTCAGGTTCAGTCCTCGAGGGGCAGTGCCCCAGCGCTGTGAATGGCCGCAGGGCCCCCTTGCCAGGGCTGGGTGGCCACTGGCCCCACTGGTGCTCTCCACCCTTCCGAAGTCTCCAGGGTCTGGGTCAGGTACAGGGGCAGCGCCAGTGAGATGGGTTGGCGGGGAGGACGCTGCGCTCCGTGAACACCACGAGTTGGGAGACATTAGCAGGGCTGGACCTGCAGCCCAGGCCCCGCCCTTGCAGCCCTGGGTCTCTGATCCCTGTCTCCCAGCCAGGCACACCCTCCTGGTCCTCAGCAGGTGGCCAAGAGAGGATGCTGCTGTCTGTTTGTTTTGTTTTGTTTTGTTTTTTTCAGTACAGGGAATGGAATTTCGCCCAGAGCCTTTGCGCCAAGCTATATCCCAGCCTCTCCAAGTTTTCATCTTGGGACAGGGTTCCCCTGAGTTGCTAAATTGCCCAGGCTGGATTTGAACTTGTGATCCTCCTGCCTTAGCCTCCCAGAGTGCTGGGATTACTGGACTGTGCCCAGCTGCCCTGGTGCTTGTCAAAAACACCACCTATCCCCACTTTCTCTGCAAGGAGGGGTCTGTGTTGGGGGAGAGAGTAGGAAGGGGAGGTTGAAATGTCACCTTCCACACACACCCTCCTCTCCAGGGCCTCCTCAGGCAGACCCCCAATCTGCAGGGGTGTTCCCCCCACTCACGCTGCACATGTGATAGGACAGGGTGGGCAGTGATGGCACTGTGGCCTAGCTGGCTCTGGCTGCCTTCCTGGCATGGAGGGGCAGTGCCTCCCCAGAGTTGCCTATGCCGCAGGGACCTCCTGTCCACCCTGGGGACTCTGGAGGCTCTCAGTGATGGGTCTGTCACTCCAGTGCATTTCTGGACTCCCCTGCCCGGGGCTGCCTTGTGGCCTGGAGGCCTTAGTCCCCACCACCGTCCTCTGTTTTCTGCTAGAGGTGAGGTGGGGGAGACCCAGCCTGCGCCAGGGAACAGGTGTTCTCCCAGGGGTCCTGGTGGGGACAGTCCTCACCTGACTGCCTGTGCACCCAGTCGGGACTTTATGAGCATTGCACTCAGGGCGCTGTAAGGTGCCCACCCAGGCCACAGCCCTGGCTCCTGTGCTTCTTGGGGACCTGTGTCCCAGGCTGGATTTTAGTCCATGGGCAGAGCTCTGTCACGGATGGGCAGAACTCAGTGGAGGGAATAGCCTTGTCCTGTCTTCCTTCCGGGCTGGTTCTGTCCCCAGGGTGGGAAGGTCGGGGGCTGCCCCATTGTCCCTCCTCGGCCGGTGTGCTCCAACAGGCCATAGGGAGCTGAGCCCTGCTGAGCTGGCAGCCAGGTGTGTGGCTAGAGTCCCACAGACTGGGCTGTGCCCGGATGGTTGCTTGTGCCTCCCTCTGGGGACCATTTCTTGGGTTGTGGGGACATGTATCTTACTCTCTCCAGTGGAGACTCTGAGATCTTCCATCTGTTCATGGTCTGCAGGGTGCAGACCCTGATCTCTGTCCAGACCGAGGGTTGGGAGGTGCCGGAGGTCACCATGCTGGGCCCCTCCTGGACATCATTGCTGCCGGGTGTCTGGCGCAGTGGGTGAAGTGCTGCCCTCCTGTGCCTGCTCCTGAGGGGCCTTCCTGTCCTTCTGTGGTGGTCAGTGCATTCTTTGGTGGGGCTGCCTAGTCTGGTCACAGGAGTTGGTATCCGCCCCCAGGCCCAGTGTGTGTCCCAGACCCACCATGCCCAAGCTGAGAAGAGGGTGGGCTGAAACATGGCTTGTGTTTAGGCAAGTAGGGGGCCCAGGGAAGCCCTGCAGGGCCTGTTCCTGGGCTTGAGGATCTTCAGCCCGGGTCTGAGCTGGGGGCCAAGCCACACAATGTGTACTGAGCTGGGCCCTCTGACACGGTGCTGTCTTCCAGGCCCCGCGCATGGGCACCTTCATCGGCGTCTACCTTCCCTGCCTTCAGAACATCCTGGGCGTTATCCTCTTTCTGCGCCTGACGTGGATCGTGGGGGCAGCTGGCGTCCTGGAGTCCTTCCTCATCGTATCTATGTGCTGCACCTGTGTGAGTGGCCACGGTCTCTACTCCCCAAGGGTCCAGGGCTGGAGCACCCCACCTGTGGGGGCCATGAGAGTCTGCTGCTCTGAGCCATAAGGTGACCCTGCAGCTCCGTCCTAAGGTGCCAGCACACCTTGGGAACATGGGCTACCTGCTGGCCTGCTGAGGACTGGTCCACTGACCATCCTACAGGGCCGCCAAACTGTCAACAGGCCCCATTCAGTCAGGCTGTGCTTTGATGGGCCACCTTCCAGTTTGGCAGGACATTTCCTGGGGCCCTGTGCCCTGTGCTTGTCCCTGGTGACCCACTGTCTCTCCACCTCTGCCCTCCAGTCCTGTTACCTACCCATTTGTCGGGGCCCTTATTCCCCTGAGAAAAGCATAATATAGCTCTTTCATCTCCCAGCTGTCACCTGAAGATACCCAGCAGGGTCCCCTGTGACTGGCTGCAGGCATAGTACTGTCCTTCCTGTCTGTTCACTCACAGGCAGCTGCTGGCACTTCCCACGCCATGGGCAGGCTTTCCTGAGAGGGCGGTAGCTGGAGGCTTGGCCCCAGAGCCTCCCAAATGCACTCTGTACCCCTGGGGGAGTGGGCAAGAGATGGGGCCACTGTGCCATCTGTACAGGGTGGCATCTTCCTGGGGTCCCTAGGTCATGGGTACCTAGGTAGAGCCAGCCTCTACCCAGGACCAGTGACCCAAGTCATTGTGTCCTGTGAGTGCCCCCAGGTGCCCCACGTTGTCTCACGCTGCTCCTGAGATTGGGTGCTAGGTGGGTGGCCCAGCCCAGGGCACCTGCCCTCAGAGGCCACCTGTCATTGCAGACGCTGCTGACTGCCATCTCCATGAGCGCCATTGCCACCAATGGCGTGGTCCCAGGTGAGGCCCTGCTGCCCTTCTCGTGTGTTGTTACCCCAGCCCTGAGTGTATGGACCCTTCCTGCTCCACTGTCATGGACAAGGTCGCCTCCTGTGTCTCGCTGTGTATGCCAGCCTTGAGGCCACTTGCTGCAGAGCTGGGGTTCCTGGTGGCCCAGGGCTCTGTGGTGGCTGAAGGGTGGTCTTGTCCGTCCCCGCCTTTGTCCTCTGCACCCCGGGGCTAGTGTTCCTCCTGACCAGGGGCCACCTCATTTTGGTCTCAGTTACCCTGGAACTGTGGGGCTTTTGTTAAATCCAGTCTTTGAAGAGTGGGCTCAGATGCCAGTGTGCAGTTGTTGCTGGGGAGCTCAGCCACCTTGCTGAGGACTGGGCTGGGCTGGGCAGCCTGTGTCCCCGGGCCTTGGGTCCCTTTTGCCTCTGCTTCCCTGTGGCAGCTGAGCCCGTGGCTAGAGCCCTGGGCAGCGCACCCAGCAGGGCTGGAGTGAAGGAGGGCAGGGCCTGTGACCGCACTGGGGCCTCTGCTGGTTCTGTGAGTGCAGAGATGAGGCTGAATGTGCCGTTTAAGTCAGGTAATGGTAGAGCGGGTGCCTCAGCTTGCAGCCCAGACTGGAGAAACCAAGTCCAGGACCCTGCTTCTGCTCGCTGTGTGTAGAAATGGAGCCGAGCTTGAGGTGCCCCAGAGTGGGTCCTGGGCAGCTGCCTGCCTGTGCACAGCATCGGCCTTCCCTGACCCGGGCGTGCAAGGCTGTGCCGGCTTTGTCTCCAGGGACACAGTGATAGGCCCCAGACAGTCCGGCTCTGCTCTGCGTCTGTGTGAGAATGCGTCACCGGAACTAGCTGTTTGGTCTACACTGGGGGGGCGGTGCTGTGGGAGCTGCTCTGGACCCCTGAAGAACACCCCTCCCTGGGAGGGGAGGCCCAGGTCAGGGTCATGAGAGCCCCCAGGCATCCTCCATGAGAGCTGCGTGTGCCCTCCTGGCTCTGCCCCTGCAGAAATACGCATCCCCTCTAACCCGTTTCTCTCTGGCCATGTCCCTTACAGCTGGGGGCTCCTACTACATGATATCTCGGTCTCTGGGGCCTGAGTTCGGGGGAGCTGTCGGCCTCTGCTTCTACCTGGGCACCACGTTTGCGGGGGCCATGTACATCCTGGGGACCATCGAGATCTTCCTGGTGAGCGCCATCCAACGGCTCCCACACCCAGTGCTCTGCCCTCCGGCTGCTCCTGGGTGCCCCACTGCCCCCACTCTGCCTTGGCTCTGGCTGAGTCCCACTTTTGAGGACTGCAGCATGCGTCCTCCCTGCCCCCAGCCTCTCTGCCATCTGGGAAGGCCAGAGGCAGGGTGGCTGTCAGAGAGACAGAGACATGGAGACAGACCAGCCTTCCTGCTGTGTCCCAAAGGGCCCTCTCCCCGTGCTATGTCACACACAAGCTGGGCCGCACAGGGATAGGGGGTCCCTGGGAGGTCTTCATGCCCCTTGCTTCTCGGGTGTCAGTAGTCAGGAAGGCCAGGATGCAGGATCCACGAGTGTGGGTGGCCTGGGTGGCCGACCCTCCTGACTTGCTGCGTCCTGCAGACCTACATCTCCCCGGGAGCTGCCATCTTCCAGGCGGAGGCAGCAGGGGGTGAGGCAGTGGCCATGCTGCACAACATGCGGGTCTACGGCACCTGCACACTGGCCCTCATGGCAGTGGTGGTCTTCGTGGGTGTCAAGTACGTCAACAAGCTGGCCCTGGTCTTCCTGGCCTGCGTGGTGCTGTCCATCCTAGCCATCTATGCCGGTGTCATCAAAACTGCCTTCGACCCGCCTGACATCCCGTGAGTCAGCCCTCAGGCCTGGCCCTGGCCCTGCTCTCCATCCCTCCCCGCCAGGGGGTCCTGGATGGCCACATTTTCCTGAGCGCCTGGGCTTGTGGGGACCATGGGTGTGCAGTGCTGTGGTGTCGCGTGGTCATGCTGGGATGCTCTGGGCACAGAGGCTGTATGGGCCCCACATTCTCTGAGTAGCCACCCCTCCCCACACCAGGCCCCTTTGTCCTCAGAGACCCCAGTGGGCTCTTTCACCTCCCTTTTCTTGCAAGGTTGAGAAGGGAGGTATTGGCCAAGTCACAGCCAGCCCATGAGGTGGGGCCTGGGCCCTCGGGCTGGGAGTGGTGTGGGGCTGAGGTCAGGGCTGCTGGGCTCTGGGCAGCTGGGTGGAGAGAATCCCTGCTGCACAGCAAAGCCGGTGAAGGTGGGGCAGCCCAGCAGGATGAGTGCTCTCGCTGGTCTGGCTCAGGGTCAGGCCCATGAGTGGCCCTGCTGTTGCTCTCATCTGACATGGGGTGCCTGAGGGAAACTGAGTCTCGGCTGCCCCTGCAGCGTCTGCCTCCTGGGGAACCGCACGCTGGCAAAGCGCAGCTTTGACACTTGCGCCAAGGTTCATATGGTCAACAATGCCTCGGAGGGGACCATGCTGTGGGGCCTCTTCTGCAACGGCTCCAGCCCCAGCGCTGCCTGCGACCCATACTTCATGCAGAACAACGTCACCGAGATCCAGGGAATACCCGGTGTGGCCAGTGGTGTCTTCCTGGGTGAGCCCTGGGGGCAACGTCCCCATCCCTCCTGGCCACGCCCCCTCGGCCAGGGCAGAGAAATCTAATGCACTGCATCAGGCCCACAAATTGGTCTCAGAGCCAGTCATTTGCGTGCTGGGGAACTGTGTTAAGGAAATAACTGTGGGCGCAGTTCCATGAGGAACCTACCTCGCTCTCTCCATCACTCTGATCTGGAAGACAGGCCTGGCTCTGGGGAAGAGGCAGCATTGGGGTTAGAAAGTAGCACTGGTCCCTGGTTGCCTACCGCAAGGCATCTTGAGGCAGGCTGAGGTCGTGTGTGTGCCCCAAGGGTGTGTGTGACCTTGCCGGGTGCCTGTGCAGGTTGGGAGGCAGGGAGAGCCATCCTAGGCCTCCCTAGAGGCCCTTGGAGGCCCCAGTGCATGAGCCCAGCCCAGCAGGAGCCCCCACAAAGCCATGGATGGGGGTCTGGTCACCAGTTCAGGGTGGACGCAGAGCAGGAAGGCCATGTTGTAGTCTGAGGAGGCTGGGTCGTTCACAGGCAGCACAGGGCCGACCTGGCCCGGCTTGGCCACCTGCCCCAGCCTTCATGTGCTGGGCCTGTGCCAAGTACTCCTATGCCTAGGGCTGTTTAGGACTGCATGGTGCCAGAGGCTCCTGTGGCCGGGCCTCGCACACAGGTTTGGTTTTGGTGAGGGCAGCTTGGGGGACAGATGTGGGCTCTGTGGGAGGACACAGGCCCTGAGCCTCCCTTGCAGGCTTAAGGCCCCCAGGAGCCCGACAGAAGGTTCTGGAACCTGCGGTGAGACTGCTGCCGGCTGTCTCTGCAGAGAACCTGTGGAGCACGTACTCGGACAAGGGTGCCTTCGTGGAAAAGGAGGACGTGCCCTCAGTGCCCGTGCCCGAGGAAAGCCGCACCAGTGGGCTGCCCTACGTGCTAACGGACATCATGACCTACTTCACCATGCTGGTCGGCATCTACTTCCCCTCGGTCACCGGTGAGTCTCTGTCCTCTGCACCGTCTCTGCCTGTCTCTGTCTCCACCTCTGTGTGTCCCTCTGTCCCCGCCTTGTCTTCCCCCGTCTGTCTGTCTCCGTCTCCACGTTTCTGTTCTTTCCCTGCCTCTCTCTGTCTTGTTGATGTTTCTGTGTCTCCATCTCGTGTCTCCCTGTATCTTTCCACCTCTCTCAGACTCTGTCTCTTTCATAGTGAATCCCCTAGGAATTGCCTGGACAGCACTAGGGGTGGAGACCCTGGAGTGGCCTTATGTGCTCCTAAGCCCTGGTCCCTGGCTGTCCCCTGCCATGTTCTGTGCTGGTCGGTGACAGACTGGATCTGCCCGCTCCTGTGCCTTCGGCCCTAGTGCCATCCTGTGTTACCGACCGTAGGGCAGCAAACACGGGATTTCACGAGGAGATACAGGTTCTCTGAAAGGTGGGAGCAGGTTCGGCGATGACAGTCAGACAAAAGCACTCAACACCGAGGTGAAGCTTGCCAATGCTGCTGTAATTTTATTTCTAACTCCAGGTGTTTATATATTAGTTTCAAGGGCACACCACAAGAGTGATTCCAGTCACAGGCAGGCATAAGATAGACAATAGTATTGTAAAAATTAAGACCACAAGGTCAAGGTAAGACCACACCTCTATACCATCACAAAAGCTAAGACCATTAAGTCAAGGTAAGACCACACCTATACGTAGTCAGAAGGGGAAGTTTGTAAGACAAAGGACTGGCTTTAGCATGTCACCTTCAGGTTCACCTTCAGGACTTCACAGTCCGGGGCTCAGGGTCAGCACTTTGGCCGCCCGTCCTCTTGTGTCTCAATAGCTCCACATCTCTAGGAACATCTAATTGTTCCTAACCTTTCCTGGGCCCAGAATACAATTCTACAGATAATGAACAAATAGTAATAAAGACAAAATAGAACAGAATTATAGATGAACCCAATGTCCCCAAACTGCAGGCAGAGAGGCCAGTTATTCTCTTCACGGCTGACTTTGCATGTGGTGTGTGTCAAGGACCTCCAGGAGGCTTAACCCCGTGGGGACGATACCTCTGGTCTGGTTTCTGCCAGGTGACCGGCATTGTCACGCAGACTCTATTGGCGTGGTCGTGGCAATCCTGTGACTTCTGAGTGGTGGCTCTTTCTCTGGGCCACAGGAGGGTGTTGGCCACTTGCAGGTACAGCCCTGTGGCTATCAGGCCATGAGCCGTCAGCACGTGTCACTATCTGGGGATTTCTGGATGTGGCCCTGAGGTTTGCTGAGATTTCAGGGCTCTGGCACAATGGAGAATGGCTGCTATGGCCGTGATGGTGATGGTGACTGGCTGGGCTGGGCTGGGCCTCGTCTTTACCGCCTGGAGAGGGTCCCTGGGACTCCAGCCTCACTGTGATGGGACACCTGGCTGGGGTTCTTCACCCGGCCTGAGCCCCCTGCCCTGTCCCTGTTCTGTGGTGTGGATAGTGGGGTCTGGGCCGTGCTATCTGAAGCCTGAAGACATGCAGTCCCTGGAGAGCACCGTCCTGCGTCTGGCACCATCCTTTCTGCCACCTCGGGATTTGGGCCAGCTGCGTCACGTGCCAGGCCCATCCGCCCCATGTTGGCTTGTCTGTGTCTCCCACAGGTATCATGGCAGGGTCCAACCGCTCCGGGGACCTCAAGGATGCTCAGAAGTCCATCCCCACTGGGACCATCCTGGCCATTGTGACCACATCTCTCATTTGTATCCTTGCCGGACTTGCAGGTGGTGGCACTGGCTTCTGGCCTCCTGCTCCCTTGGCCCCAACTCTGAGCCATCTTGGGGCTCTCAGTCAAGTGGACCCAGGCCTCTGCCTCGACCCTGTGGAGCTGGGCTGCCCACAACACGTGTGCCACGGTGGCGTGACGCCCAGACCCTGCTTTCCTCACTCTTGGTCAGGCAGTGTTCTCTGTGCAGCCCGAGGGATGGCCACACTGTCACGAGGACACTCCACATTGAGGACAGGTGACCGCTGCAGGCGGTTTAGGAGTGGGAAGCTGGGCTGCAGGTCCCTGACGCCCATGAGCCCCGCTTTTCTGGCTGAGCAGTGTCCCCCAGTGACAAGCGTCTCCATAGCGGCCACACGTAGGCCAGGCTTATCCAGAGCCTTGTGCCAGGCAGCTGGGTGCAGCTGCGAGAAGGGACCCTGAGGACCTGGGGCTGGGTGTGGGGCTGCATTGGGGCAGCACTGCCCAGGACATGGGGAGGACATGCGGCACCATCTCCCGATTAGGCCTGGCCGCTCCTTGACCCGAGCTGCAGATCTCTCCTGCATTGTGCTCTTCGGGGCCTGCATTGAAGGTGTGGTCTTACGAGATAAGTACGTTGGCCTCTGTCTGGTCAGGGTGTTAACGTCTTCCCTTGGGCCTGGAGGCCCCAAACCACCCAGCTGGCACCTGACTGCTGGGCCTGGGCATGGACAGGAGTGGCCTTGGACCTGAGGCATGCCACTGAGCAGAATGTGGGGCCTGGTGGGGTGTGCGTCTGTCAGGACTGGTCACGGGCCCTGGTGGGGAGGCCACGTGGTCCCTGAGGCCGTGGCAGGGCCAGATGTGCAGGTGACTACAGCAGCTCAGGGGTAAGCGGGGCTTCCTGCTCCTGAGAGCCTCCCGGGTGAGAACAGAGCACCCATCTCACTTGGAGATATGGGCCATGCTGGGCAGACTGGCCAGGTCCACACCCCGGAGTGCTCTCAAGGGGACAGAGGTGTTTCCAGCTGTCCTCAGCCAGCTCTCTGGAAGCTATACTGACTGCCTGCCTTGCCTGCCCACAGGTTTGGCGAGGCCCTGCAGGGGAACCTGGTCATCGGCATGCTGGCCTGGCCATCCCCCTGGGTCATCGTCATCGGCTCCTTTTTCTCCACCTGTGGCGCTGGCCTGCAGAGCCTGACCGGGGCACCCCGCCTGCTGCAGGCCATCGCCCGTGATGGCATTGTCCCCTTCCTGCAGGTGAGCCCTTTGGGGGCCTGGGGAGTTGGGTCGGTGGGGGACAGTGAGGGGTCTCTTCCTGGGTGTAACTTTTAGGGTGATGGTGCACACGCACGTGTCCCCCGTGGAAGTCACTTCTCCTGGCTGCTGGGCTGGTCCCCAGGCTTAGCCCCAGGAGTGCACGAGTGGGTCACATCTGTTCGTGTGGCCCCTGGAGCCTGTGCCCTAGACGATTCACTGATGCCAGGGACAGATGGGCTGACCTGGGCCACTGTGACATGGGCACACCGGGCCTGGCTGGGACGGTCCTCCGACTCGGTGGTACATTAAGAATCTTGGAACTGCTTGTCTCCCCCACCCCTCACCTGTCCTCATCCCCACAGGTGTTCGGCCACGGGAAATCCAACGGGGAGCCCACGTGGGCCCTGCTGCTCACGGCCCTCATCTGCGAGACTGGCATCCTCATTGCCTCCCTGGACAGCGTGGCCCCCATCCTGTCCATGTGAGCGGCTGTGGCCGACGGGCGCCCGGGGTGGGACGCTGACGTGCTCCCCTGGGCATGGCTGGCGGGATG